CATCAGCAAGTTAGTCTGAAACAGGTGCCAAAGCAGCCAAGTGCTGTCAGCTCGACATCAAGCGCCTCGTACCCTGGGGATGCATCCAGGTTGGCTGGCACATGTGGGCGTTAAAGGGTTTTGGCCTTTGGGGTTCCTAAACCCGAAGCCCCAAACCCTACAGGTAGAGGGTTCGGGGATTTATGAGGATTGGGGTTTACAGGGTTGAGGGTGTAAAATTTGGAGTTGCAAGCGTCAAGGTGTGGGCTCAGCAGCTTCGGGATTTGCGCCTGAAGTCTAGGATTTTGGCCTCCATGTGCAGGCTGAAATTTTGTATACAGCGAGGGAATGATCAGTGCAGCCACTCCTCCCTATGAATAATGACAAGGGAGCATTTATATGGGTTATTCTCAACATTCTGGTAATGGTCGCCTTTTGGTAACACATTATATTGCGGCATCTAATCTGTAGGGCTACCAAAATCGGACCCTAATTTTGGGACCCCCCCCTACGCTATCCAAAAAGTTATTTTGGTCATTGAAGCCCCTGCGATTGAGGTGTCCCTGGCTCTTTTTGCCAGTTTTGGAGGGATTCAGTCAGGCGAGGGTTCCGGTATACGGTACAGAAGCAATGGCAGCGGTTCTTTTCAAGATGACCCAATACCTAACACGGTTTATGGTTTACGGACCGAGTAAACTCATTGTGATCTAAGGCTCTAGGGGACTTGCTTTTTTCACTGGATCGGTATGACTTCACCCACAGCTGGATTACTTACTTGCGGCTGGGCTGTCCTTCGAGGGATGGGTGGGCCCGGAAGTAGATTGGAAGGTGTGAATCCAGGGCGCCCAATACCCCTTAATTAAGGAGTATGCCTTATACCATATAAGGGACCCTATTAATTACCATTTAGGTCATATTCCTTCATTAAGGTGTATTAGGCCCTTTGTGAATCTGCTAGCCGAGAAGTTTTAGCACTTTGCAGAATGGCGGCGCCTTGAGGGGCAACCGGCGCAGTCTAGGGCATCGTGTAGAGGATCTAAACTCTAAACCCTAAACTCGAGGGTGCAGGGATGAGTCGGCTCATGTCGGGATATTTTCTGACAGGCTTCCCCTACAAGTCCTCATATGGTCGTAGCATGCCAGTACCTGAATGCCGCATTCTTGGTGTGTAGGCCCCTGCATTAGCAGTCTCCAGGAGGTTCGACACGAGGGTCTACTACCGATATTTTCACATCTCTGGCAAGCCATGCCCTATCAAATATCCAGGGAGGATCGGGGCTAGTTGTTTCGGATCTTTGCCGGACCTAGCTGTGAAAGCACGTGGGGTACCAGCAGCATGACCGTGGCCATGGCCGTTACTATATTGATGACCGTTACAGTTGCTGGTTGAAGTTGAACAATGCTTGTTCTTACTGTGGTTGCTCCTGTTGTCGACCAACAGGCTAGTATCCTTCTTACTGTTGTCATCTTTGCGGGTGCTGGATGCTGTCATAGTCATCTTCGCTGCTAGGCAGGTAGTCTGCTGATGATTGTGATGGCGGATCTAGAAGCTTGGCTTTTTGACAATGTTCTTTCTCATCCGCCCTTATTCAACAAGAGCATCTGCATCCGAAAACATTATTCCGCTTATTACGGCCACTACATGACCACACCTATGAGGTCCTAAATAGGCCTAGGTCACATTTAACTCCCCTCTTGTTCATTTGATTCTTCAATATTGTCAATGATTTCGGCCCCGAAACCCTAAACCCTATATAGCCCTGTCAAACCCCAGGTCCTTCTGATCTCCACTATATATATATATGATGTATTATTATTTACCATTATCCCGATATAATCCCAATAAAACCCCAATATATAATCCCAATATAACCCTAGGATAACCAGAACCCTAAACCCTGAACCCTAAACCCTAATCAGAAGCCTTTCCAGACACAGGTGGCCTGCACCTCCTACGACTCCTACGCCGTGGAGCGTCGCAGAGCCAGCTGGAGGCCGCAAGGGCAGGAGGTCCGTAAATCCTTAAGCACTGGGGCTTAGGGTTTAGGGAACCCTGAACCACAAAACTCTAGACCCCGAACCGGGTTCAGGGTTAAGAGGCGTGGGAAGCACTGCATGTCACTGTGGTAGCCAAAGCAGTCCATGAGAGGCCCCAATATGGACCCCCATAGTCTGTAATCCTCGTTATAGAAGTTCAAAAAGAGGCGCCACTGATTTTCGGAAGCGCCATATGACGGCCATACATGTTTCGCGGCAGGGGTTAGCGAAATCCCTTTTTGCACAATACCTGCATAGGGATGCTCCTTTTATTGTGCCTATCAGATTTCTTTGCTGTTTGGGGAGTTTCCAGAAAAGGGGGTCACCATGCACCCACAATTACCATAGTCCTTTGTATAGGCATTCGGCCCCCAAGTCTAGGAAACCCTAATCCCTACAAACCACTACATAATCCCAGTTCCGATTTCATGTTCCATGTGTTTGTCCATTTGATTCTCCAGTATTGGGGTGATATCCCTACACTCTACACCATAGAGGCATATTCCTAAAAATCCTTGTATGAGCTACTGTCACTGCTAGGTGTACTAAGGTACCATGAAGGGTGAACATATGGGTCCATTTGGTCTTAGCACAGTCAGTAACACATTCCCTGTTAGGACTCCGTCTTCAGAACCCATGTCCAGTTGAGGCTTTTATGTTCATGGCTCACTCTTTAAAACTGCAGGTTTTGGACGTGAGGTTTTAGGTTTTGGCTTTGGAGTTTAGGGTTCAAGGTTTAGGGATCCTTGGGAACCTGGGTAGTACCAGGGAGGATTGGGGAGCAACGCCCCCCCCCTTCAACCACCCCTCCTTGAGGACGTCATAGGGTATGCATGCCAACAAGATGAGAAGTCTCCACGAAGGGGTAAGATCATGCAGAGATTTGATTGATGGCATCTGCTTTGTCAAATAACGTAGGGGCCACAAGGGCACAATTTTCCTAATTCAGAGTTTCTGCATAAGCGCCTCCCCTAAACGAGGACGGAACTGCATACGCCCCCCTCCGGGGTTCCTGCTGTGTTTGGGGAACTCAGACACGTCCCCGAGTTTGGGGATGTGGGGTCCCAAGCGTGCTTCTGAAAGGCATGGGTGGATTTGCCAGCCACTGGGCAGAACATTAGCATGAAATTGTGCTTGGAGTGTCACATTATGTGTGAAATGTCTTTTGTTCAGGGTTTGAAGGAAGGGGAAGAACTTCCCATAATTGTTGTCCTCATCCCCTCACCGTTCGCTTGCACCTGGTCGCTAGACCTCACTGCACTGCCAAGCAGTTGGGAACGAGACCTGGCTTCCTAATTTTTGCCGGCCCCAACTTACTGGTTCTTAGTATTAGTAGGGAATAAGCGAATAGTCTATATAGGGGTTATATGAGCCATAGTCTAAGCTCCGAGTTCCCCCTTTGTAGTGCCTTTAACGAGTTTAGACTATAACTCATATAGGGATTATATTCCCTTATTCCTACTGAGAGCTAGTAAGCCAAGTCATCCATGTTCCAAGGCTGCGAGCCTTGGCGAGAGAAAACCCCAAAAAAGGAGCACCAAAAAAGGCATTGCAAGAGCCCACGCGGCTTAGGGCTTAGGATCGCAGAACAGGGCCGCGAACTGGAACCCGTGTCAACCCTAAACCCCCAAAAAAGCCTAAACTTACTGTATAACTCTGTTTGGGACCTATACTTCCCCTTGAGCCCCAGTGCACAAACTAAACCCAAAGAACAACTCAGGCTTTCCCACCGGATCGAACGGACCAGCCGTGCCGGCTGTGCCGGCCGTGCCGGCTGACGCGCCGAAAGATCGTGCTGGGCTTGGCAGGGATGGGTCAGTCCTCATTACATAGGCCAAAACTAGGAGGTCCATTTTCGAGGGTTTGCCATAATATTGGTTATAGTATTTTGGTCTTAGATGCCTTGTTTTTCGGAAATTACCGTGCGTTGAGTTGTTAAAGTCTGGGTGCCCTTAAGGACCTGAGGATATGGGGGTTACGAAAGGGAAGTGCAGGTGCCCATCAAGATTCGGTAACCTTCATTTCATGTCATCTATATAATATCGGCCCTTGCTAACTGTTTATGTTTCAGCTTGGCTGGGTGGCCTGAAGATGCTGACATGCATTTTTTGGTAGATAGCAGTAGTCCTTAGGTGAACCCCCACCCAGTAACAGTGATTATGAACGGTGATGATAGCAGAGGCCTTTGATACTCCGAATATACTGTGATTACAGGGTGGGAGGGGTTAACCTAAAGTAGCTGCTTTAGTTGCTAGCGCTTTTTGTTCCCCCCTCACCCCCTAACATGACATGTTCCCATTGTTGCATACAAAAGCCCTCTGCATTCCGATAATCCCACTGGAGAAGCCGAAGCACACTCTCTCTCTCTCCCTCTATCGCCTGCCAGTACATACGTAGGATGCCCAGCGCAACTAATCATGAACGCTACTGCAAGGACTTACCTTGAGGACGGGCTGAGCTCTGACATCTCTGACTTTGACTGCTCACCAAGGTGTCCTAGTTTTTCATGCTTAAAGATAATGCCTTGTAAATGACTTATGTCCTTGGCTTGTCCACCTTGCAAAGTACCAATACCATGGGTCCCCACACTTCTCGGTCGTGAGGACCTCCTCGCAATCAGCAACCTACAGGATGAGAAGCACCCTCCTCCATCTAAACTTAAACCTCAAGCGCGCAACCTTATAAACCCTAGATCCCACAAACCCTTGATCCAACAAACACTCAACATTCCGTCTTTATTGCAACTCGGCTGCAACTTCCACGCTTGAGCGCGGTGGCTGGCCTTCCTGAAGAGTAACAATAATACGAAACATAATACATCAGAATTCTAAACATGATAAAGGCAGTAAAAATCGATAGAATGAAAGGCGGAGATTCTGACGGATTCATGATCTTTAATCTCAAAACCGTCCTGCCTTCGGCTTGAAAGCATCTGGCTTGCAAGCGCTGCCTTGTAGCAAGTTCCAGCTAGCTAGCTAGACATCATGGGTTGCCAGACGAGCAAGGCCACTGCTCCAGCCGCCACGGAGACTGGGTTAAGGGTCTATGGTTTCAGGGGCTTAGGGTTTAGGGAGCTTTTGTTTGGTTACAAACCCATTGCTAAGAAGTCCTTAACACGTGAGAGCAAAGATCCTAGCTTCAGTAATTCGAGGAACCCGATATAGATCCCCAAATACTATCATCCGTCTTACGGGGACTGACAAAAAATTAGCCTCAATTTTGAAAAACGCTAGTCGCTTTAATCTGCAATAAACCAAACTTCCATTTCATCCTCCACTTTAATCTTCTCCATGTGATCCGCCATAATTCTTTAAACCCTATAGTCCCCCTCAAGTAGATAGAATATGGGGTATGTGGGGATCTTATTATAATACACCCAAAGCCATATTCTATCTACTTGAGGGGAACTATAGTTTCTACTGACTGAAGATGGATGCGTTGCAGGAGAAGGCTCCCATTGCCGTGACGGAGGTTGCCGCCGAGTCTAAGGCTTCGACCGAGGCGCCGACTGCCGAGCCAGCAGCCTCCCAGGAAGTCTCCCCAACAGCGCAGGCAGGGTCTAGGGTTTGCGGTTAAGGGTTTAGGGTTCCGGGTGTAGGGTTTAAGATGAGGTGTCAATTTACAAAACCAATAGGAGCTAGAATGAACAAGGCTATGTGCCACAAGGACTGCCATGAAAAGAAGAAGATTGTCACAACCCTGAACCCTACATATGGTACTTTGAATCTGATGCCCAGTTTCTTTTCCATTTGCTTTTCCAACTAGGCTCTAAACCCCTTTAACTCGACAGAACATGCAGAGGATAATATCCCTATACAACCAACCCTGAATAGCCCCTAAATAACCAACCCCACCCAAAGCCCTAAAACCTATGCCTTAAACCCTAAGCCCTAAATCCTAATCCCTAAAACTCTAAGCCCTAAACCCTAAGCCTTATAGAATCCAAAGGACAAGACGGAAGAGCCCAAGGAGGTTCCCGCGCTTCCCGCCGAGGCCAAGGCGGTGGAGACCGTGCTGGAGGAGACCAAGGAGGAGGTGAGGGATGAAAAGGGGATTCTATATAATATAATATAATATAATATGGTGAAATATAATAGAATACGGATTAAAAGTGGATTACATGTAATATAGTGTAATATGAGATACTGTACTATGATATTATAGTATGATATGATGTACTATAGCATGTATGATATAACTTAATGGGATATGTATATATATATATGTATACATATATGTAGGAGCTACTGGGTTCGCTGACGGTAGATTTCTCAGATTTCGGACTTTCTCGCTTGGTTTGCATAGAGCAAGTTTGGAAATCTGTCAGCAGCAGATGTCGTGGCAGATCAGGTGAAAGAGAAGATCGCAGAGGCCCAGCAAGAGGTGCCCAGCAAGGAGGAGGTGAAGGACTTGACGGAGCAAGCGGCAGGGCAGCTGGAGGGATTCAAGGCACAGGTTTCCGATGTTCCTAAGGTGTTGGGTGCAGCCCAGACGGGCGAGGAAAGCAAGACACCGATGTGCAATCTCTTCAGCACTTGCGCGTAAGGGAGCCTTGTGGGCAGTGGTCGATGCACCTTCCAACCAGAAACCAGGTGAGTGACATGGGCATTTGCTTGGTGTGGTTGTACAGCAAGAGACCTGATGCTTTGGCTGGGGTTCAATTGCGTATTTTGCTTTCAAGCTCCAGTGTCCAGACAAAGGCATGATCAGACCTGGAGAAATTCGTTGTGACCCGCACTTGAAGGGTCAGGGGGATGTAGTAAATGAATCAATGATTGGGGTGACAGACGTTGTTATATGAGCTACTGTCAGGGCATAAAGGTCCCTTTGCTAGTTTAGCATGGTCTGTAACATATTTTTCGGTAGGAACCCATGTCCCTTAATTTTCTAGGAAATATTGGGCGTAGCTCATATGGCTGATAGGATAGGGAGTATACTTACTAGTGATGAGTAGGGAATAAGGGAATATAATCCATATATAATCCCTATATAATATATTCCCTCAAAACCCGAAGCCCTAAACCCTATACCTATATATATATATATCTCTCTCTCTCTCTCTCTCTCTCTTACTCTCCCCACATTTTGCTACTAACCCCACAGTAAGTATGATTACCCAGCCCCCCTGATCTGCCAAGCAGAAGATTGGCGTCACGTTTTGCAAGCAACGCGAGCTCGCAACGATGTTTGCGAAACATGGGGGCTTGGGGGCTAAGGGCTTCAGGGGTGAGTTAAGGATTTAGGGTCTATGGCTTTGGAGTTTAGGGCTTAGGGTTGGGTTTCTAGAGTTTAATTAGGACTCGGGGTTTTAGAGTTTGGGGTTAAGGGTTTGGGGCTTAGGGCATTCCAGGAGTGACAGCTGCACAGCCAATCGCAAGTGCCGCCCCTCCCCCCCATGTGTATACTTGGCACTGTATTGGGAATGTTTCTTTAAAAGGGTTGGTAGGGAGGTGATTGGTAAATCAAGGTACCCTAAACCTATAGTCCCCCTTAAGCAGATAGAATATAGGGTATATGGGGATCTTACTATAATGTACCCAGAGCCATATTCTATGTACTTAAGGGGGATTATAAACCCAAAACTACTCCCCAGCTAAATGTTGGCTGCATCTACACCGTCAGAGACCCATGTGCAGGAGCCGAACGAGCCTGAAATTTTGCCTCCCCTGTCCCCAGCAACATATGAGCTACAGACTAAATTTAGGTTGGGGGGACCTATAAGGAGTATATATGGTCTTGGGGGGGACCTATTAAGGGATATAGTAGAAATTTAGTCCAGGGCCCACTTTGTGGACTACAACGGTGAGTGTTTGACATGAGGCTGGGGGTTGTATGATGTTAGGGGGCTGACTGATTGCTACCGGTATTCGCTTGTGCAAACTTGGAACTACAGAACAGGCCGCTCAACATTCTATTCATAACTGTCGAGGCCTGCATATTTATGGGCATAGCTTCTGCCACTCTCCTAGCTGCAACCCGATTCAGGCCTGTGGCCTATGTGTCAGGTCTTAGGGTTGGGCACTGGGCTCTGAATTTTGATTGTCAGTAAGGAATCAAGCCATGGATCCCTATAAGAACATGCAGAAAATCCCCAACGCGGCTCAGGGTTTGGGGTCTTGGGTTGTTCTGATTGTTTCCATCGCTTCATTCCCCAGTAGCAACCAGCTGTACATTTTCATAAACCTTCCAGATTCCCTGTTACTTTCCTTTCGCTTTGCCATGGGAGTTTGCATTCCATAAGCCCTTCACCCTATTTGTCTGCAAAACCCCAGGTCCCATTTCAGCTTTTGTTTGTTTATTCCGTCTGGGTCTCCATTATTATGGTGCTAACCCTAAACCATTTATATGCCCTTATCAACTGCATATTTCCCGCATATCATCTCTAAAGGGAAACCTTTAGTGGTATCATGTGATTCCTATGTTTGTTTTGGTGGTTGGGATCCCTAAGCCCTAAACCCCAAGCAGTAAACCGGGAAGTACTTTCAACAATCTCAATAAGACCTTGCCGGGGCCTGAGACCCTTACATCCCACCCTTAACGTCGAGGGTTTTGTGGTTTGGGGCTCCGGGTCTAGGATTGAGGGTTTATTGTTCAGAGTTTAGGGTTTGCACCTGCATCAACTTCGACACGTCCCTGAACCCTGCGGTCCCAATTTTCGAAGCCGTGCCTAGGCATGATCACCCGGAAACCCTGCCCTAAACGCTAAACTGTACAGGTCACTCTGTTTGGGTTTGCAGGTCCCTGACTTTGGAAATGCTAACCAAGGCAAACACGCTTTAAAGTTTAGGGTTTAGGGTCTCCACATAAAGTTTTTGACTCTGATAATCGGTTTGATTCCTGAACCAGTGACCTCTTGGACGTAAGGATCTTGGATGGCAGACTTCGACCCACTGGCGGGAGCCTAAAGTAAGGGCTGAAGTAGGATTTAGGTGTCAGGTGTGGGGCTTTGGGGTTTAGTGTTTAGAGGTGGGGCTCGTAGAGTATACTGGATGCCCTGACTAGTTGGTAGATTCCAGCACAGGGGGCTTTTTAGCAACCACGGCTTCTAGGATAAGATGTGTTGTACTTAGGTATATAGGGTTGTAGTATATTATGGTGTGATATTTGGGCCATTTCTGGGCGAAGTGATACATTTTGGTTGCGGGTTACGGGTCTCTAGTCAGTGGACCTCAAGCATAGTGGACTAGAATTTTCCTTATGGCTTCAAGGTTGCGATGAATATATCTGCGCATAAGCACGAATATATGACACTGTCATCATTCTGAGGGTATCACTTCTACGTTGGGTTTTGCATTTTTTCCAGGTCAGCAGGAGCACGGCCTCAAGGTCATTGGGGACCATGCCGAGGGCCAATAAATGGAAACTCACTGGAAGACCGCCTTCTAGCCTGGTCCAAGAGAATCAGCATAATCGCCAGCAGCACCATCAGCACCACAGCGCCCGCTGCTGCGGCCAGGAAGTTCATAGACAGCTGTGATCCGGGCTACTAGACTGCCAACTACATGAAAAAACGAGGCGTCGTACGTGCACCTCTACTTTAACTACAACTGTACCCTACGCCTACGCTGTGAACCCTAAGCCTTAACATTGACATACCAATCTCCGAACCCTGCTCTGGGCCGTAAATCTCGAAAACTACCGATTGAAACCCTAAACCGTAAACAACTTTAAACTGACAGCTTGCAATCCCAAATCTCAAAGCCTGAGCCCTAAGCTCCGAGCCTTATATCTTGAGAACACCCTGCACCTGGAACCCTAGTCTTTAAACCAAACGCCTGAAGCCCGAAACCCCTATAGCTGCCGCCAACTTACGCTGAGGCCAGATGAGGTCACAAGAAAAGAGTGTCTCGAAAGCAAAACCATTTTATGGGGAGCCCCATACTTCTTTCATCCCTAAGGACAAGCTCCTTGAACACGACGCCTCCCCGCCCCAAATTTCCAGACACCCCAAACCCTAAAATCCAGTATTTCTGCACATGTTCCCACATCCCACATATCCTCATACAAGCCCCAGAATCCTTCCTTGAAACTGAGAAGTCAAAACTGGCGCACCGCCAAGACAGCAGGCCGAACCCCAGTCGGCGCCTGCTCTGGGCGAACAGGCAGAATTTCAAAGGTGTCCTGAAACCTCAAATTTTTGCTTTCAAGAAAGATTTCAATACACAGCAATTTTTTTTTGCTTGCTATAATCTTTCAATAAACAGCGAACAGTATTCTTGGGGAGGGTCCCAGAGCAGATTTAAGTGTACATTGTGGGCCTTGGGCTTGCCATCTGAGGTTTTAGGGATGATTAGGTCAAGGGCCTTAAGTTTTGCGGATGTTTGGATTCCGTGCTTGAGGGCTTAGATGTTAAGAACTTGGTAATAATTGGGTTCAGTGCCTCAGGCTTTTGAGTTAGGATGTTCCTTCTTGTCTTGGGTTGAGGGCCTGAGTCAACAATTAAGGTTTAGGAGCAGTTAGTGTTGGTTTTAGGGGTGTTTGGTAAAGGACTTAAGCTCGATGAGTTGGAGATTTGGGGAGTTCCGGGGCAGTTCAGTTTAGCTTTAAGTTGATTGAGACCATTGCGTTTATGATGGTAAACAAGTCAGGATGCATGGTGCAGGCAGTTCAAGCATGCCCCAACCCATTCTGGGATTGCCCACTTCTACGTTACAAGTCCCATACTTAGTACGTGGGTTCCACTCATAATAATATACCTGCCTATGCATTTAAGTTGCGCATTGGAGAAGCAGTGATCTCGGCAGATTCCCAAATCAATTTGCTTGAAAGTGCCTCTTCAGGCAAAATGCTTGGCCCTGAACTTCCTGTAGGGTACATGTAGGATCCCTCATCAATTTAAGATAGTCATAGTGAGAGACTGACGTTTCTATCGGAGGTTTTGTGAGATTGCATTGAGTTCAGGGTTTTCAGGAATCAGTGCAACCCCATATAGGCCTCTTTTCAAAAAGGACCCAAGTCTTGGTGGCCTAAACCCGCCGAAGCCTAAGCCCCAAAGCCCTTAAATCCTGAACCCTTTTGTTTGGGGCAGGGCAGGGCAGCCTGACACTGAAACAGTCTAAGACCCTTCGCATCGTTAGTTGCTGAAAATGCTCTCTGCGATTTAGGGTTGAGCGTCTATATATAATCCCCGCGAGGATTCCTACAATCCCCTCATAGTCTATGCAAGCACGTTTCCTGGGCTCCAATCATCCTGGTTTTTTGGGAAGGCCTCAGCCTCAGCATGCTGGGACTGAGAACATATCAATGCAACTCTAGCCCAATACTCCTTTAGACCCTGGGCCCCAACCTTACTATGCTCCCGAACCACCTTGCCACCTTACTGCCTAAACTCGAACCCCACTGACTTGGACGTGCAAGTTTCCTAAAAGGCCAGCAGCGGTTCGGGGATGCCATTCAATCCGTCTGGAGGCAGCAATGGTCGGCGTTTGGGGAGATCAGGGAGTCTGCAGATGTGTGGTGTCCTTCTTGCAACTACATAAGGGCTGCCAATGGTTTGGGTCCACTTTTGACCCCCTTCACAGAGGAACTTCTATGTGGATCAGGGC